ATTAATCAACACATTTTTTCTATGATGGAATCTAATCCGTGAACACAACGTTTTTCAAGAATTTTTACAACCAGTGAAATGGGTCTGTAATCTGTTTTAAATACTGGAATTAGCATAGCGGTTTATTTATGCAGTCTCTGGTCTTTTTAATAAAAGCCATATCTATCCCATCAATGTCTTATTCTTGAACTCTGACACGGTTTTTAATATTTCTGGTTCAGTGACTTCTTTCAAGTCTTTGGAGTGACTGATTCTACCGTCTTATGTTTTTGCATCTGCATTTTCATTTTGTTGATTTTTTTTTTAGCAAGCTTTGGCCCTATAGCTACAAAGTACGAGTTCAGTTCGTTGGCCATATCTTTATTGGTTCGCTATTATAAATAAACTCAGCCCTAAAGCAAAAACAACTTTTAAGCAATATTAACCAAGCTAAAATGATTTTCCCTTCACGTATGCCCATCCTAAGTATGCGTATGGTACATGTGTGATGCCAGAGTATTCTCATGGTTATAAATGAGACTGCAGATATAAAATTTCAGTCCATTCAAACTCAAAGTAAACTATTGCACCATGTGGAAAACACCTCAAGCCAATGTTCTGATTCACCAGAACCTTAGATCAACCTTTAAGCAATCAATTTGATTTCTAATAGGGTTTACGGCCACATGTTTTTGTTCTATGCTTCCATGGTGACTTCCTTTGCATTTACGTCTGTCCACTGCTTTTTAAGGACTTTGACTCTGGGGATATCCAATTTTCAAAATAAGATAAAGCAGTTAAAAATACACACACTTTTGTCCTGTTCGGTGATTGACGCAAATCTAATTATCTACACACAAGATGTTTCCAATAGATTTTAAGAGAATAGGTATTCCACACTAAACAATACATCTGCTTTGCTAAAAAAAAATAAAACAAACAAAAGTCTGAACAGTGAGTATTCCAAGTCTCAAAGTAAAAGCCTCAACTAATAAAATACATCCAGTCTCTGGATGTATTTTTTAGTCTTTTAGTGAAACAACACACTGACCAGCTTTTTGTTTTTCAACAGTCCATGTCCTGATATAATCCTGGCGAGATGCGTTATTATCGTCATCATCATTTCATCCCTTTATATATCCATTTCTGGGTCAGGGGTTTGGCAATAAGAGCTGCCACCCATGTCACAGAGCACTAGTCCCTCACTGGGTCCACGGGAAGATGGCTACTCCTTCAACGAAGATAGAGCCTTTCAGCTGGGCTTCAGGCAAAGTGGGGCTAAGTGTCTTGCCCAGGGACATACTGTAACGACAGCAGACATCACTGGGAGCAGATGACATGGGTCGTGGGGGATCAAACCCACGACCACTGGGTCCAAAGACCAATGCTCTATACTGAGCCACTGTTGCTCTGTGCGTTATCTAATAATAATAATAATAATAATTCTAATGATAGCTGCTTGATTAATAAATAAGGGATAATGTATATTACGCAAGTCATTATTGTAAAATAAGTACCGACAGGGGGAAGCAGACCCCGACACGCAGCGGAGGGGTCTGCTTCCGCCCTGAAGGTTTATTTAATGACAGAAAAAAAAAAGTTCCCAAAGGCTTTTCTGTGGGTATGCGAGTAACAGTTAGGCTAGTAACTTCCAAACTAGAACTTTCTCGAACTGCATGAAAACTGAACAAAGAATTGTGAACATCAGCGGTGAGTGACCCAAACTTAAACCTAACCTAAATCCATAATTCGATCCTCTGCAAATGTGTCCTAAAATGTCCCGGAATCTACTTCCGGGTTTTTTGCGCTTTTTCTTGCATTAAAACAGTGTTTTTGTCATGAAAACCTTAACAGATACTTCTGAAAACCTCTGTGCATGTGTATTAAGAATGTATTATATAATGTATTCTCCGATTAACATTTACATGTGTTGATTGATATGTATTTGCGTTTATTGAGCGTGGCTAGCTCCGGAGTGGCCGGTCATTATTGTTTTGAGAGGTCCGTTATCAAGAAATAATGACCGGTAGAACGTTTTGGAATTACATTCAAATCAATAGAGCGTTCTACTGCTGCTGTGAGGAGCCGTATAATAATGACTAATAATTGCCGGTGTAATAACCATCCGTCCATTTTCTTCCCCTGAATCCATTTCTGGGTCGGGGCCGTGGCAGTCAGAGCTGCACCCAATTCACAGAGCACCAGCCTCTCACTTATCCTCTGCAGGTGGTGAGTCCACAGGAGGATGGCTGCTCTGTCAGTGTGAGCATAGCCTTGACCTTTCAGCGGGGGCTTTTGGGCAAAGTGAGGTTAAGTGTCTTGCCCAAGGACACAATGGCAGCAGTCATCAGTGGGGGTGTCGAGGTGGGAATTGACCTTCAGGCCTAAAGGCCAATGAGGTATAATAACACTTGAGGATAAAATACAATAGTGGCTTGTGGGTTGCAGCTTTTAAAATTCTGATTTACTTTCATATCCATTATTTTTATATTCCCAGTGCATAAAATCTCCACAGTGTTGATTATTCTATAGCACTAAAGTATGAAGACTCCTCCAGACAATGCAGTTCCTCTGGCTATGATCTTCCATGGTCTGGCAGGATAAAACCACATGCAAACTTGTCTGAATAATACAGCTAACACGGAAGCTCAGACATCTTCCCTTCAGTCCCCTTCCTATCGCACGTGCTCTGCAAAGCACTCATCTTCTGGCTGCATTAAAACAGTACCCCTGGATTTATCTTCAAAGCTTTCAGCTCGTGTCAACCCGCATCAACCCCCCCGCCCCTCAGCATCATCATCACCTCAACAGAACATTCTCTGCATGTCGTTGGCTTATCCTTCAGCCTCCACTACCACCGGGTTTTAGCCTTTTTCTAAGGTTTGCAGATTTTGTTGCATGTACCTGAATACTTTAATCAGTGCAGACCTCGAGAGTGCAGAGCTAAACCAACTGTGTAAGTAAAACGTAGAGAAGAAAATCAATAAGACATTGACATAAGAATATTAAGATGTAAGTAATTAATCTTTCTTTGTATATGGCCTTTCACAGATCACAAAGCGCTTTACAATTGTTGTGGGCATTTGTTCTCTTGTGTAAAGACAACCCCACTCCCATCTCTTACTTTACACAAAGATGGGAGTGGGGTTGCCTTTACACCGCATACCAGAGCTATTGTACATGCTTTTAGTGGTAGGGGAAACCGAAGCACCCGGAGGAAACCAGAGCAGACAGGGGGAGAACATGCAAACTGTTTAATTATGTACTTACATAAACACAGATGCTTTACACGGCAGTCTTACCTCTTGAAACTATGTTGAATTTCAAGATTTTCAGCCCTTTCTGACAACCACGAGATCTCTAACCACACCAGATTAACACAAAGCAATAGGGGTGATGAGTCTGCCTTAAGACACAATGGTCTCCCATTTACTGTGATACTAACTAGGCCATGCTTTGGTTCTGAAGCATGGAGAGATGCCCAGGACATTCCCCTGTTTAACTGTAATACAGATCTTCCGCCTGCAGCCACATTTACTGTAAGACGCTTACGTCTTAAAAGCTCTCTCTTCACCACCACCTCCTCATGATCTTGTTACCAATGTGACATAGCGGGTGATAATGTGCATTTCATATTGCCTTGACTTGAATTTCCAGAAAACAGACATATCTGGACTGATCTGCCCTGGCTGCATCCCTGTGCTCAGTATCAATAATGATATTTTGAATTACATTTATCTATAGCTTATCTAGCTTATCTATGACATAAATCTATAGCTTTAATCAACAATGTCATGATAATCAATAAGTAGGCTGATTATTCTTTCGATTAAATACGATTGACCAAAACAAAGACCTAAGTGGTGTCTTTGGAGAACATTTTAACAAAAAATGACTTGAATGCACCTGTTTAGTTACAAATAATTTGTAAACACATTTTAATTTAATTGCACAGTCACAAAACCTCTTTTCGTTTGCTCATCTTTAAGCTTGTTAATGTCTATGAAAAGTTCAAACAATTGAGCAAATAATTAATTTGTTGACGATTAATTCATTAACTTAGATACATCTATTAAGAACATTACAATTATACATGTATGTATATCAAAAAGCTTTGTTATGCAGAGGGTCAAAAAAATTGTTCATCATGACAATTTATGGTGGTAGTTCATCATAGGGGTATGGTTCAGTCACTGCTCATTGTCAAAAGAATCCAGAGTGCAGGCTTTCAATGTGAAAGCAATACATCTGGGATCAGACACAGAAAATTAGGTCTAAAGGGCTTTTAAATTGCGCTCTACACTCGCTCAAAATGATGTGGTCTCTTGAGTAAAAGCAACAACACATTAGGCAAGTAGAGAGAGAGAGAGAAAAGCATAGATCTCCCCAAAAGACGTGATAAAAAAATATTAAAACATAAACCAAAGTGTCACCTTGTTTTGACACCCAGCGCTCTTTCAAACGTGTTCCTTAAATGTCAGGTGATAAAAGCGCATCAAGTCGGTCCACGTCCACAACTCCCGCAGCTTCACTAGATTGTAAAAAAAAAAATAAAAAAAATACTAGAAGATCCACGCGTGAGGGGCATTTCAACTGGATAAACCATTAAAGGCAAAAACGCAATTTCACGCGGCCTGAACTCTCCAGTCACCAGTTACTTATCTCTCAAAACAAAGAACAGGTGTTGAAATAAAGCAGAAAAGAGTGACAAGATGTAGCTAAAATATCTTATACTGGGAAGGGAATAAGTATTTTGCCAAGGGATATTATCCAAGACCTCTATGTTGTCTATTACTCAATCGTTATTACAAAACCATGCATCAAAGTTATGAAAACAAGAATTTGGAACAAAAAAATGCACAAGGCGTTGCTTCTTAACTATTAGAAGCAAACATCCAAGTTAAATTCTCAGTTTTCATGCCAATTACGCATATGAGACGTTTGCCAGCAATAGATCGCGGTGTCTGCGGGTTTCGCCTCAGTGCGTAAAAAGTACACACTAATAACAACTTTCTACTCACCCACGACGAGCAGAAAGCATCCCGTGCCGATATCCATCCCGGGGGATAGAGCCGAAGCGTAGATGTCCATTTGGGAACTGCGAAAGTGCGCTGCGTAAAAAGCGGCTTGGTCTGTTCCTCCCTGGGATGTGATGCAAGTGTGGTCCTCTGTCAGATGCACATGCTCGCACCGAGAGTAGGAGCCCTGACGCCGTCGCTCCTCAAGACTCACTGGTGCAGGGACGGTTTTATAGCCTCGAGCAGCCAATGCCCTGTGCGCATGGATGGCCCCCACGGACCACAAGGGGGCCTAACAGCGGCGTTATCACAATTCATCTCTGATTTGAAGAGACATTGTTCAGAGGTTAATAGTGCATAAGGGGTTTAAAGTTTAGAGCAAGTAAATATTTAGTAAATACTTAGTAAATATTAAGTGCCAGATGGCGAACGTTCATTCATTTCAAGAATATGTTTTAGTCTTTCTACATTTTGTTGTTTACAATATGTATGGTATAAACATAATTTTTTTACGGGCTACTAGATCAAATAGCACATTTGATGACCCATTTAATTGGTTCCACTTGTGTGTGCAAGCCAAACCTCAGAAGTTAAGCAGGGGAGGGATTGGTTACAACGTGATGGAAGACCCTTCAGCATGACACTTCACCTATTGCCTAGTATGAGTCTAGTGTGTGCATGAATGGACGGTTTTGGTCGGACATTGCAATAGTATAAACTGGTTGCATCACTTCTGTCAGTATGCCCCAGAACAGCTCTGACTACAGTTATAGTTTATCACCACTATTGAGCGCCAAGACCTGGGTCTCCATTTGTCTGCCAATTCAAATCAATGGCCTGAGCTCATTAGCACATGTTCGCACCATGGAAGACACCCAGCTCGGGTTCACCCAGTCTTGCGTGGTAGGTGCGCAACAGTTGACAAGGGAAACAAAAATACTCCTAAAACCCGACCTTTGAGAAAGCTGTTGGTTTTATGAAGCTGAAGAAGAGCCGTTTTTGTTAACTTTATGGCCAATGGGAAATCCTCCTGTACAGCCCATATGAATTTAAGATGCGGCTTTGGCCCCTGGTCTATACTTGAGACGACCTAAGCTAGTAATACCCTATCCAGATAATATAATACATCCATAGGCACGCCTCTATTGTCATGTTCAGAAGTTCAAATCCCAACAAAAAAATACAATATTTGTAATGGTGCGTTTTTATGAAGAAGCTCAAGGAGAGATTGCAATTGGAAATTCCTTGCTACAAGCAGCATCATGTACCCACCAAACTAATGTATGTTCACTTAATGGTAATCATTCCATATCTGTCAATCAAAGGTTAATTTAACTAATCGGTCCATTGTGTTTAATCAGAGTACACAGCCCTCGCAGCCCGCGCTGATTAGCCCCACTCTCACACACACAGAGTACATAAACCTCAGCATCGTCAAGGGACCTCAGACCTCAGGCACTGTGCCACTGCATCTGTGATGAGCCTCGAGTAATCAGCATCTCTCACTTATATAAGACAGACAGTAGACGTAATCCTGACAAATAACTAATGTCATATAAACTTGAATTGAGTTTGATTCGCTCAAAATCGAATTTAAGTTTTACATTTTTACTATTGACATTTCATAGTGTTCAGGAACAATCACCTAATCAATGTTGAGAGAATCATATTACTGGCTTGGCCACACCATGCACTTTCAGTCGTTGAGGTGAGTCATTTGCATTTTCTTACGTCATCTCATTAAGAGATTCATCTAAAGTTGAATTAGAATAGAATATTACTCTTTATATATCCGCATAAGGCCATATACTGTATTTTTCCTCTGCATTTGTCCTTTCCTTCCACTATGGCACTGGGACCTCCGTCAGAAGCAGTGGTCTCTGTAGTGCAGTGCCTGGGGGCCCATCTCCAGATGTTGATGCTCGGCTCGGTCAGGACTACCAGAGCTGAAGCATAATTTATGCTGTACATGTCCCCAGGGGAATAAAACTTACTTACGCCGCTAACCGCAATGCTGCCCAAACTGGTCTTGGTCTCAAAATAACACATAATGTTGTTCCAGATTTAAAAAAAACATCATTATAAATACATTCTAGCTAGAGCCTGGTTAGTACTCTGATGGGAGACCTCTTTGAACACTAGGTGCCACAGTGGGGTGGCTGTAAAGTGCCAAACTGTTAATGTGTCTTTAGGCAACCCACATTGCGTAGAATGAGTCTGGTGTGTGTGTGTGACTGGTTGGTGGTCAGAGGTGTCAATGGCAGTCGTTTATCACCAGAGAAAGAATAATAATAAATGAAATAATAATGACATGTGAAGCGTCTTTGATCGACAAGTGGCTTTGAGAAGATGCCGCTCCTTCACGTAATATCAGAGCGGTTTGTATCCTACCCTGTCATACTGTGAATGACTGTGATTTCAATAGTCTGCCTGGTGCACAATCTCATTTTGCAGTGTGTGTAGTAATTCCAAAAGTTTTGCTCCAAATCTCATCACAATGAATCGGATTCAGACTTTTGTTGTCTCCTCTTGTGACCCAGCACTTATTCACTGCCATAACTTTATTGGAAGCAATAAAGTATTCATGATTACTATAGTGATAAGATCTTGTTATAATGCACGCACTCTCTCAGAACGGCATGGTGTTCGAGTCTAGACCCTGGGGTGACCAAAGTCTGCAGATCTCATGCAATTTTTCTGCAAAGCACCAACATTTCACATGCAATAAATGATTGAGTACCATATAATACGTCTACCAGAGCCTTATCATGCATAGACAGTTGAGTACAGTTTGGGTCAGATGCATAATATTTGAGAATTTGCCACGCCTCCTATTTCCATGACTACAGCCCTACTCTCTCGGTGGCGGGTCTGCTTTGGTCCACCTAGATTAATATTTTAATGTTTTACTGGGATGACAATGGCCCAGTTGGCATTGGCCTTTGAGCCTGAAGGTTGTGGGTTCAAGCAAGTGGGGGCGGGTCCCGGCTCCAAAAGGTCCATGAGCATGTGCGCTGACATACTTGCAAACTCACTCTGGGCCGCTGGGGGTGGACGCGGAAAGAGAATTGCCCAATGCGTTTGTATGGAGTCTTCTGTCCTCTCAAAAAGGGCTTTGAAGTGTGTCAACGCAAAGGGGAGGTTGTTTTTTTTGTTTTTTTGTGACCAGTCTAGTTTAGCCACTATGGACTTTACAATGCACCTGAATGGTAAATTTTGAAGATGCCCACAGAAGGCGAAAGTGGTGGCACATTAGTTGCTGAGATAGGCGTGACTGCGCCCTTTAATATTTACAATCTATGGTTGAAGCCCGCCTCGAGACCTTCTCCACTAACTCCCACTGATGTATGCTCTCGTTGTGTCCTTGGGCAAGACACTTAACCCCACTTTGTTTGTCACCTTTATCACCTTTGCTATTACACTTACTACAATACATCTGGTTTGTCCAATGTTATTGTTATATTCATATTAAATAAATAAATAACTACAAAAAATATATAATAAAAACACATACACATTCAGACAAAACACAGGCCCAAGTACTCTCTGACCCTACACCGCTCCCTCTGTGTTTTTAAACATTGAACGCATGGCTCCGATGACAAACACAATGACAATGTACTCTGTTCCCTTGGGCAGGCTGCTTTCCTGACTACACAGTGTACAGTGGAGCATGTTCTATGGTCTTAATTACAGAGCGTCGCTGCCTTTGTGCAACTATGACAAAACTGCAGCAAATTGACGCGCTGCTACGAAGAAAGAATGTTTCTAATTGAACGCATGCATTTTTTTTCTAGCTTAATAACATATTTGTGTCAGAAAATAGGCTATAGGGCTCACAGATCTAGAGTTTACAGGGGAAGTTGGGTGGGTGGGGTTGAAGCTCAGTTACTGTTGCAAGTATATATTTATTTAGATTTGACCGTTTTCTGTATTGCAAAATAACAATGTACAATTATATGCTGTTTGTACATTCAACATTTGCGTCGGATCATTAGTGTCCTAACAGCAGTAAAGTGGAGCGTCTTTCGTTTTTGTTTTGTCTTGTATGTTTGTGACGATGCTGCTGTTTGACCTTGTTACAAGATGAAATCCGGAAGTATGTTACTCTATCAGTAACTTGATGACTTGTCTATAGTTGTTCAGTTGTCCATTTCATCCATACTGATTGTTTGAAACATGCCAGACTTTCTGCTTTGAAGTGGACCACAACACACGGTCCAGCTGTCCCTGTGCTCCGTGACTTGTCTCTGATGGATGCTCTTCATCACTGGAGCCCCGTGGGTTAAGCCCATTGAGTCCAGATGTGCAGGCGTCACCTCTGTCATGATTCATAGAGTTTCCATTTCAAAACATGTGAATTATATCTGCCAGGGTCATGTCATCTTCATGGAGGCTGGAAGCAAAGTACTATCTGGGGTTATATTGAAATGTGTTGAGGCGCACGATACAAAACTGGGCCACGGGCTATATTCAATCTATTCAACGATACATAGGGCATACGCTTCACTTCAGAGCAGCTTAACTGACAGTGCTCCTTCTGTTCATAAATAATGCATTTGGCTTGTGCAATAGAAGATCTGGATAAAAGCATAAATGTGGGGAATAAATCAAACCACAACAAGCTTCACTTTACAAGAAACGTCTGGAAAAGGTGTTTTTTTAGTTTGAAATTTCCAATACCCGAGCTTGGAGGTACCTCCAGCCATGTCAAACAGGATCATAGGAGTTTAATTTGACTATAATGGCATTTTGACTTCAATGTCAAAGTAGTTTTTCCATTGATTTCCTCAAGCTTTAGTTGGATCTTTCTCTTTCATACTTCTGAAGGGGCAAAATGCCTCGGTTCAATTTGTGACGTGGCACCGAGCTGCAAAAGCCGGCCTCCAGGAGGTTCTCAGCAGTGATTGAAAGTGGTCCACATAGACCACAGTCATTGATGTATAACCACAGTCTGCTCACAACAAGCTCTGTTGTTTTTTCTGCTCTTTGCCAACTATGGCATCATGTCAACTTGGAGAACATGTGTTTTTGGATGTAAATATGTGATGACACTATTACGCTACCTCAAAG